ATGTTTCCAGGGTTCATCCATGTTTCAGTGTGTGTCAGTTCTACATTCCCTCTTTGGCTGAAGTAATACTCCATTGTATGATATACTACATTTTGCATAGCCATTCATCCATTGATTGACATTTGGGTTGTTTCCACCTTTTGGCTATTATGAATAATGCTGCTACAAACATCGGTGTTCAGGTTCTTCGTAGGCTTGTGTTTTCATTTTTCATGGGGATATACCTAGGAGTGGAATCGCTAGGTCACATGGTAACTCTATGTCTAACCCTTTAAGGAACTGCCAGACTGTTTTCCAAAGTGGCTGCCCCATTTTTTCATTCCCATCAGCAGTGTGTGAAGGGAAATATCCTTTTACTGAACACCTACTACGTGCTAGGCACTGTGCTAGACCCTTTCCACACCTCATCTATGATACTCAACACGAACCTTATAAACATACTGAGGACAGCGCTGAAGCTCAGACAAGTGATGTGACTCCCCCAGCATCACACAGAGAATAGTGGTGGTGCCTAGATTCACACTCCGTTCTGTCCCTTACATTTTCCAGTCTACTCAGTGATTGCTGACTGCCCGACTGACTGCTTAAGTGGAATTAGTCCCCTCTTCTCTCCAACACTCCTGGGCACTGTTTTGCAGACAGGAAAGTTGGACCCCCACTACCCAAAGGTCTGCGGGCACAAAGGGAACGTCTTAGACATCAAGTGGAATCCTTTTAATGATTTTGAGATCGCCTCCTGTTCTGAAGATACCACAGTGAGTATCAGCACATAAGGCGGTTCCCTTTCCCGAAATGAGTGGGATTGGGGCACAGGGAGATGGAATAGTGTCTGTACTTGGCTCTGATGCTCCTGACCCGCTGATCCTTCATGAGGTGAGGTCACTGTGTGGGGAGGGGCTTAGTGAGATTGAGTGGGAGAAGTTCTGGGCTCTGGGACTTGGAGCACCACACCTTTAGGCCTCCTATCTGGGACTTAGTTCCCCCCACTTATAGAATGGACATAATAGCCCCCAAGCAGCTAATGAAGATCCACAGAGACTCCTATTCCAGTGGAAAAGCCCATCTTTTGGGGGAACTATAAAATGCTTTAAGGAGCATTTTTTATTGTAGTCAGAAAATATTGTGACACTTAATCTCACAGACAGTGGGGAGGGGAGCTTTAAAAGGATAAGAATGGGATCCTTAGATGAATATGGGCACCACAACTTTCCCAAAAGCCTTAGCCCCACCAACTTTTTTGAGCCCCTGTTCTGGATCAGGGTCATAATCCCTGCTACCCACAATGTTCAGTGTTACTTATTGATAATTTCTTCTGTTCCCACTTCAAAAATGCCGTGAGTGTGGCTTAAAACAAAAGACACAGATATGATAAGATGATTAAAATAAGGATGAAGGGCACAGTGACAGTTTATTTTGTGCCCATTGTGTTCCTGACTCTCAACTACACGTTACCATTTCAATCTGGCTTCCTGGCAGCCCCACGAGGTAAGATTTTTTTTTTTTTTTTTTTTTTTTTTTTTTTTATGGAGAAACTGAGGATCTGAGAGGTGAAGCAGTTTGTCCAAAGTCACACAGTCTGAGCAAGGCTTCAGGCTGAGGCTTGATTCTAGAGCCCAGTATGTTTTCACTGAGCTATGCCACTTCCCTAAGTGGCAGCAGCCACAGATGGAGGAAGTGAGGAAATAATACTCAGAATGTTGGTTTTGAAGGGTTACAAGCGTAGAGTTCCAGGTTTAACTCAGAGCTGCCTGGCAGTCGAGGCAAAAAGGGAAATAGAATGTATTGCAGAAGCCTTTAGTGTCTGATTAAAAGGAAACAGACCAGTTCGTCAGGAGAAGCAAGTGGAAAATTCTCAGAAGACTTGTGCCAGTCGCATATAGGGGTTGCCGAGGAGCGTAAAGGACAGTATCTGCCAGGATGGTTTCACTGAAGGGGCAGTCAGGCCCTGTGAGAATTGGCTTTGCCTCCAATGGTGGGATGTTGAATATCTGACTCTGTCCCCTGACTCTGACTCTGAGTCCTGAAATACTTGCCTTTTCAGGCCTGCTTTGAAGACTCCCTACAAGATCTTCATGAAATTCCTAGCTCTTCTCATCTCCTGCCACCAGTTCCTTCCCAGATGCCCCCGGGGGCAGAAAGAGTGCACACAAGTATCAGGCGTGGCAGTGCCTAACCTCAGGCCCTCCCATGTAGAGTGTTCAGCTGTCTCCTTCCTGTCCCCACCCTGTGGGGCAGGGATGACCCTGTAGCTCTGAGGAGTCTGGGGGGTGGTCTCTGCCCCTCCCACACAGGTCTGCCCAAAGTCCGTCCTCCATCAGGGGCCAGTTCTGTGCAGTAATAGGATTCACCCAACTCGTCGTCTAGAGCACCTGGCACTCGCCTCATGGGGCTGCCTTCCTGGTTTTAAATCCAGATGACCAGGAAATAAATATTTGTCGAATCGAAAACAAAGTCTACCTGAAAACCCTGGGTATCTCTGAGGGAAAACGGACATACAATCACATAGGGGCCTGAGAACCCCAAAGGACAACAAAGAATATCAGGTTACTGGCCATCCCCTCCGTAACCGGGAGCTTTCTACCAAGGAAGCGCCTTCCATCCTCAACAACACTGCTCTGGAAGGAGGCCCCAGCCCCTCCTCCCAGGCCCTTACTGTGGAATACAGGCTGTGACCCCCTGCAGCCTGGCCTTCTGACCCTTCATCTTTCCTCTTCCAGGCCATCCAAGGGGGGCACTCCAAAGGAAAGAGCTTCTCCCTACCCTATCCTGCTCCAGAGACTGCACTGGCTCCCTAGTGCCCTGACAATATAGCACAAACTCCTCCTCCTGGCATTTGAGCCTTCCTCCTAGCCTACACCTTTGGGACAAGGAAGGGGTAGACCAGTGTACTCTGAGAGATAGTCTAGGCTGGGAGTCGGATTTGCTCTGACATCAGCCTGGGAGTCAGGCCTATGGCCCACCCAGCTCCCCACAACTCAGGTCATTAGGATGGCAAGGATTACCAAGAGGGAGATCTGGAGGTCTGGGCTCAGCTCTGGCAATGTCAGCCCCTGTTTGGGCTGGAAGACCTTGGCAAAGCCTCTGTCCCTCTAAGGGTTCCCTGCCCCTCCACTGAGTGAGAGATGGATACAGAGAGTGCTCCCCTGGCCCTTCTGCTGGGCACTGCCAGCTCTGTGGCTTAGGGTGGCTGGGGTGCCAAGGTGACCCTGGCTAACAACACTCCCCCACCGGCTGTGTCTCCCCTGAAAGATTAAGATCTGGGACATCCCCACGCAGCTGCTGACGAAGAACCTCACAGTCTTCAGGAAGGAGCTGATGGGCCATGCCCGCAGGGTGGGCCTGGTGGAGTGGCACCCCACGGCCGCCAACATCCTCTTCAGCTCTGGCTATGACTACAAGGTGGGTCCATGTACTCAGTTTCTGGGGCCACCCTACCAGATGACCAAACTGGGCAGCTTAAGACAACAGAACTTTATTTTTACATTGTTCTGGAGACCAGAAATCTGAAATCAAGGCATCAGGAGGGCCACGCTCTGTCCTAAGATCTTAGCGAAGAATCCTCCCATGCCTCTTGGGACTTCTGGTGGCTCCACGCATTCCTTGGCCTGGAGCTGTATCACTTCAACCTGCCTCCAGCTTTACATGGCCTTCTCTGTGTTTCTGTGTGTCCTTTGCTCTTCTTATAATGACACCAGTCATTGGTTGTAGGGCCCATGCTAATCCGGTATGACCTTATCATAATTGATTACATCTGCAAAGATCCTGTTTCCTAATAAGGTCACATTCTGAGGCTCCAGGTGGACCTGAATTTGGGGTTGGGGGGGGGGGGGGGGGGGGGGGGG